ATCGCCGATCTTCGCTAGACAACGACGATTCTTCCCCATAGGAATAGATTAAACAGGTTTCAATGCATTCCAGTGGGGAAATGCTTTTTGCTAGACAATGATTTCGCTAAACAGCGATTTCAGTGGAACGGATTATCATTGTCTAGCGAAGCACCACTGTACCTCCAACAATGTACAGAGGATTTCTTTCTTGTATTGAAAGTGGAGCGAAATTATCTTTTTTCGTCTTTTTTAAAAAAAGGTGTCGCTGATTAATACAAAGTTATGCTTCAGCCAGGGGAGTGTTGAGTAATGTTCTAAATATTTATACAGGCTGGTCCAGGGTGAGCGGTGGGGGCTGCTGACTCTATTTAATGGAGGGACGGATCTGGGAACAGGATTCGGAGAAAACAAGAGACGGGTGCGGATTTATTTCAGGGCTCCAGGTATTGTCAGACTGCTGTTTCAATCCGTCCTGGCCACCATAGTCAATGGTAAGGATGATGGAAATTGCAATCCAGCCACATGGGGCTACCTGAAATTTTAAAAGTTTTACGTGCTATTTAAAGATACAGTTCAGCTCTGCTGTGAAAGAATTTAGATGCAATGGTATTATTAAGGATAAAACAGCCAGTCCTTTGAGCAGGCTAAAGGTTGGAAGGGGCTTTCCTCCCCCCCCATCATCCTGTTTGAGACCCTTGTCGAGCTGAGCAGCGGGGGAAGAGTGGGGGAAGGCCACCAAAGGAGCGGCCAGAGGCCAAAGGTCCTCCTTCCTACACTGAGTCTGGTAGCAGGATTGTTCCATTTTGGCTTCATTGGGATCCGTGTTCAAATATTCTTACTGTATATCCATCTGTGCTGTGCTTTCCTAGCTATCATCCTTCTGCATCATAACTTCTGGAATATGTGAACTGGCAGGCTTCACTTTTTACAATCTTTTAACCACTGGCCTTGAGGATGCTGGAGTGCGCTTGCCTTTGCCATGGATCAAACCACCGGTGTATGATGGAATGTTTATGAACATTCCCATTCCTGGCAGGCCAGAAAATAAGAGAAAGGTTGGAAAACACAATGCTTAGTGAAGAACAGATGAGCAGAAAAGAATGTGAGAAATCTTAGCCCACCAACTATATATTGTGGGATTTATATGTATAAAGAAAAATGCTTGAGTGCTCTGCACAAACATTTGGGGTACATGTATGTTTTAATTTGTCCCTTTGTTAAGGCAGTAATTACAGCAATGCAGATTTTAAATCAACACTAAAGGGCAGACGGTTTATTACATCAGCGAGCTCAAACAGAAGCAGAAGAAATAGACACAAAGGTCACTACGGAAAAACCAGTGGTGAGCAAATTTCAGATACCCCTGTGTTGCTGGGATTGCAATTTCCATCATCCTTACCCTTGGCTGTGGTGGCCGGGATGGGAGGAAACTGCAGTCCGATAATACCTGGAACCCTGATATAAATTCACACCCATCTCTTCTTTTCCCCTACTCCTGTTCCTCCCCAAATTCTCATTTCCACATCAGATTTTAAACTGTAGATTCCTTGGGGCAGGCACTTGTTAGATTTTGGAGAGTGTTGCACACATTAAACCTTATGTACCAGGATACTGCACATTTACTCTTTAAGATCTCCAGTTCGCTTAGGTGCTGTGATTGGGGCATGTTAGTTAATGTACATTGGGTGGCGTACAGAATACATGGTTTGGGGGAAATCTATCCACCTGCATTGAGCATTTGGGTGTATTATATGGCCTCCATGCCATTTGTTGCTGTTATATCCCATCAAGTCGCCTCCCACTTAACGGAGACCCTATGACTTCTTTTAGGAAGTCAGTCCATCTTGTACTAGGTCTTCCTCTTTTCCTGCTGCCTTCTATACGGCCTCTCAAAATTCTTCACCCTATATGAGGGCCAGCATGTGCAGAGTGGAAAATTTTTCTCCAGGGGGAAGGAGAAGCATTTGTTCTCCCCTCCTGCGTTCAATTTTTGTTTTGGGCACTCGCCCTGGAAAGCAGGCTTCGGTTTCTAGGAGAGTGCAGAAAAGAAAACCACTCAAAATACTGTATTTCCCAGAAAAATGTTGTCTCGAGCATTTGGGGTGCACGCCAGTTGTCCTTCTTCACCTGGATCTTCTAAATGTGGCATCTGGGACAGCTCATTTTATTTTAAATAAAATAAATTGTAAATGCATCTCCCCTCTCTTGCATATGCTTATTCTTCAGCTCCTGCCCGGTCAACTCTCCAGAAGATAGGAAGGAGGGAAAGGTTGTCTTCCCGGTTAGCAAAGAGTTGGGGTTGTGCCAGAATGGTCCCTGCAACTTTTCAAAAGTGTGGTTTCCCCATGGAAGGTCCTTCCATTTTAACGCCTTTCTTCTTGAACTGCTGGATAGCGCAGTGGCTTGGAGGTTGGGAGTTCGATTCCCCCTATGGGGCCTCCTTGAGAGGGGCTGGACCTGATGACCCACCCATAGGGTCCCTTCCAGCTCTGCCGTTCAAAGGCTATCATTAGGACCCCCTGGAATGTCTTTCGGTGACATTTTTGATCTTACGAGAACATTGCAGGAAGGCCGAACATGTATTTTTGTTTGTTTGTTTGTTTAGAATTACACATCTCTTTCTCCTTACAGCAGAACTGAAGACGGCTGACATCATTAAAAGAAAAGACAATATTTAAATACAATAAACATACAAATATTTTTAAAAAGAATTAAATTTTAAAAAAAGAATTGTATTAAAAACGACAATTAAAATCAACACTAGAACATATTTAACAGAGCATAACCATCTACATTACTCCACTGCTCCTCTGATTGTCTATACTCCCTTGCATCAGAAAAAGCCCTGTGGAGGAGTTATCTCGTGGCTTCTAATTCAAGTGTGGGAAACTGGAGTATTTGCTGGGAGGTAATTTTCCAAAGGAAGACAGAACATAGACATGCTCTCCGGTCACTTCATCACTGAAGTAAAGGACGAGAATCCTAAACTCTCCCATGGGAATTCAAAATTCTTTTCAAAGGGAATTTATTTTATATGGAATTGAGTGGGAACAGTAAAAAAAGAATAATTGTAGGAAAAATTCTCATTGGCATGCCAATTCAGGGTTAGACTTTTCTTGCACATAAACTTTAATCCTGATCTTAACCTCCCAGCTCTGTGGGTATGTCTACGCTCTGTAAACACAGGTGGATTCAACCAGTCTTAAGCGTTTTTTTTGGCCTCCAGTTCAGTTCAAAAGCATCCAGGCCAACTAGCAAAAAGCCACGTGCCATTTTCGAGACTCATAGATTTATTTCATCCTGAGCTTTCAGGGGTGTAGCCTAATTCTTCCGAAGCATGGAGTTAACTTTCCAGTCTCATGCCTTGCTTCCCACAGTGCAGAAACCACTGGTCAGCTCCGAAGCAGGCCATAAAGGAAATCAAGACAAAAGCAACCTGAAAATATTGGAAAAAACAAAAACAAAGATCCATTCTTAAGATGTAAAACAAAGGTTAAATTTTATCCGTCGGAGCGGCTGGCTGTTTTTCCACCAGTGGCCACTTAAGGAAATCTGAAAACAGAATTGGAAATCTCAGTATAGGTGTTTTAATAGTCTTGCTTCTGAAAAAGGCCACAGATGAATTCATTCATCCAAATATGTGGGGTTTGTTTAATGAATAAAAGACAGGCTTGGTCTCCCTTTACTGCCTTACGAAGGAAACAACCGTCCCTTCTTGTTCCACCCATGTAGGTGGAGATCTCTCCATGTCACTGGATGTTTAACCCACCTGTTTAATTTCACCAACCTGGGGTCTAGCATGGATAAATCCCAGTTCTGGCTTTTCCCACCAAGAAAAGGATAACGTGCTAACACCAAACATAAATTACCGCACAGGAGATGTAAAGAGACACCCAAGGCTCTTAAAAGCCCATGAATGTTTTGAGCGCTTTCCTTGGGAATCTGGGTTTTCGCTCTGCCTTTCATTCCATTCCTTGTGTCCAAAGAAGTGGACGTGACCCCCGAAAGCTCACATCAAAACATAATACCTAGTCTTTAAGGTGCCACCAAGAGTTTGCCTTTTTTGGGGGGGTCTTGTTTTGCTTTATTTTGTAGATTTTACCTGATACACTAAATTTCTGTTTCTCAGGGAGAGCCCACCAGTGGGATGAGGGGAAAAAAAGAAGCCCACCACAACAGGAAACTGGGTGGCTGTTCGGTCCCCCCCCCATCTCTCCCCGGGGTTGATGGTTTTAAAACCACCAGCATCAAGAAACCCACCCACCTCTAACTGGTACCCAGATTAAACACTGGTTCTAAAACCCTGGAGAAATGGAGAACACAGGGAGGGAGAAGAGAAAAGGAAGGGGGGGGGGAAGAAGAAGCAGGTTGATGATGCTAAGGAGGTTGCACCTCGGAGATGCCTTTCTCCTTGGGCTAGAAGGGCTGATAACCTCAGTTCTGGTCTCCTTCCCATCAGAAGCAGGCAGAGAACGAGTTAACTAAAAAAAAAATCCTTCTACTTCCGGATGTGTTCATAGCTCAGGGCTGTGAAGCTGAGAGAGAGCATCTTTTCTTTCTCTGTCTCTCTCCCCCCCCCCTTTCTTTTCCACATATACAGAAAAGGAAAAGCCAGCAGCCACCTCCAGAGCAGAGCAGGCAACGAGGGGGGAAAACGCGAGGCAACCTCTCTGATTAATTTTTAAAGAGCATCCTCTCTCTCTCCATAAGAAAAAGAGAGAGAGATATATAATAACGATCCTGATCATCATTTTTTAAAAAAATACAACCCCCCCCCCCAAAAAAACCCACTCCCAAGCAGAAGGCGCTTTGCTGCTTTAAGAGGAGGAGAAATTGACATACCCATCTTGATCTCTCTTCTCTCTCTCTCCCCCCCTCCATTCCCCACCTCTCTGTCGGCTGAGTAGAGGGGATCGGGGTGGGCTGGAGCTGAATTCTCTTCGGTGGGAGATGCCGGGTGGGGGGGCTTTCCGGAACCCCTGAGCCCCCCCACACCTCTCTCTGGCCCCCCTTCGGTGATTCCTCGGGTCCCTCTTCTTCTCCCCCACCCGCCCCCTCCCCAAAAAAAGGAGCCTTTTTCCCTTCCCCGCATCTTGCTGCTTTGCTACAATTGGAATCACAACCAGGGAGGGGGGGAGGGCACAGAGGAAAAGGGGGGGGCCCTGATGTCCATGTTTTAAAGGACAAGAAGAAGCGAAAGGGGGGAAAAGAGGAAGGAGTGAGTGTTGTGTGTTGCGGAGAAAGGGTGCTCGTGGGGTTTAACCATCACACCCCCGTCCCTCCCCTCCTCTCTATCTCTCCCCCCCCCGAAAGCCCTTTCAAAGTACCACCGGGTTGTTGATATATATATTTCCACCTACAAGAACCATCAGTCTCTCCGCCGTTGATGGACAGCTACGGCAGCCAAAAGGCGGAAGAAAGGGTCTCCTTGGGAGAAAGGAAATACCGACAAGCAAGAAAATAGCCAAGTCTTCTTCTCTCTTCTCTCCTCTCCCCCCCCACCCCCACCCCGCAACACAACCATGAAGGGCTCTCTCTTACCGGCATTTAACTAAGCTAGCCAGCGAGCGGAGGTTAGCGGGTTTAGAAAGACCCCTGGAATATTTAATTTCTAAATATTTTTCAATTCTTGGTCCTTTCACTCCTGAGCAATCCACAGAATCCTCACCCCTTTCTGGTGGAGGAAAAAAAAAAGAGTTTATTTTTAATTTTAATTTTTTTATTTAAAAAAAAACTATTTGCAACAGTTTTTCCACCACCCCCTCTCTCTCTCTGTGGATCCGGGTGGGCTTAGTAAAGGGGCCCAAAATGGGTCAAGATCGCCTCTTTGGAAAAAGCTGAAGCTTTCCTGCCGCCCCCCACCCCCAGGAGCCGCCTCCCCCCCGGGGGGGAGAAGCCACGAGGACAAGGAGCCCTGGAGAAAAAAGTTCTGAGCATCTGATGGCACAAAGGGTAAGTTTAGGGGTCTTTTTTGTTAACTAACTCCAGTTTCTCTCTCCCGCATGAAATCTCGCCTGGAAAGATGTCCAAGGTTGCTTTCGCCTCTTGAAATTAAATTAAAAGTAAATTAAAATCAAAGGGGGCGATTCGTGATTTGTTGATTTGGAAATGTTTTTAAAGTAAAGCCCTGCTTATTGTCTTCAGCTTTTGGAGGGGGGCGGGTGGGGATCCTTCCAAAACTGATTTCCTCCATAATTTAAAAGCAACACTCTCCGTGTTGTGAGCTTGAACCTGGATGTTTTAAAAAAGTCATCCTGCTCACTTCCAGGAACTCCCGTCTCAGCTGCTTATTTGTAAATATTTATCACCCCCACCCACCCCCTTTGGCTGGCAAGTGTCAAGTGGCTCAAAGGGGGGGGGGGCGCTTGAAAGAGAAAAAGAAGGCCTGCCTCTTAAATATTTTGAGAGCATTTTCTTTTCAAAATAGCTGTCATTCCTATAGATATATAGATAGAAATATGTAGATAGAGAGGAGTTATTGTCAAACCCCTCCCATCCCTTGTAACTTTGTGGATTGGTGTGAATTTGACTATAAAAGCCGAGAAATATTATGGTGGTCTTTTTCCCACCCGGGGAAAAAATATCCCCATAGCAAACTTCAGCAAAATATATGCACGGGCATAACTTCTTTTCCTCTCCCCCCCCCCCCCTTCAAAAGCCTTCTTCTCTTGGGTAAGCTGTTCCTTGACTTTCTTTAGCCTTTTTGCTTTGATTCTGCACTGCTCTTTTGAAAGCCTCAATGGGGCTGCTTTGTGGCATTTTGTGATGCTTTTCTGAAGGTTTCCCCCTCTTTTTCTCTCCTCTGACCCCCCTCCGTGGAGCGGTAGAAAAGATCCCCCTAGCTTGAAAGGTTAGGGTTAATGTGCCTTCAATAAAGCCAGTTGTAAGAAATTGAGGGAACTTTTTGCCTAGCAAGGTTAATTCCCAGCTGCCGCCACCCCCCTATTTATTTATTTATTCATTCATTCATCCATTCATTTTTATTGGGGATATTGCAAGCACCCTGCTACTAAGTTTGGGGCGCAGTGTTTCATGTCACATAAAACGAGCCACTTTTTCCTTCTGTGCGCGGACATACCTTTCCAATAATGGTTTAAATCCATAGCCTGTTAGATGGAAGTTTCACCTTACACTTTTTCTCTGTTAATCAATAATGGTTTAAATCCATAGCCTGTTAGTTTCACCTTACACTTTTTCTCTGTTAAGGGCAGTCTTTATCACTTTTAAAAGTATCCAGTCCTTTCCGATTTAAGTTTTTCGAACTTTACAGATCAGTGGTTCCTCTCTAGGCGAAAGCGAAGGGGGTGAGAACCTCGGTCATGTTACACACAGCAGGGAATTGATTCTTATTAAGATAATTCGAAATATCGAAATGATCAATAATGCATTGAGAACCCAGCATTTGGTCTAATTCCTGCACCGGAAGAATCTGAAAATGACTTTAAGTTGTTTCTGTGGGTGGAAACACTAGGACGTCTCGAAAGGACCGTGTGTAAGTAAGCGAGGGGGTCTGATGTGTTGTTTGTTTTTCTAAAAATCGAATATTTTGAAAACTCCACGAATTGAACCACAGGTCGGTGGAGCTGAAAGCTACTTTGAAAGGGGGGGAGGAGAGAGGGTTTAAATAGATTTGTCCTTGTGTACACTTAACGGCTGAGATAAGGCACGATTTAAATATGAATAGTTGGCAGGGCGAAAAAATTTCACCCCATTCCACCCCCAGCAGGGAAAAAGAATTTTCTTGTTGTTGTTCTGATTTTTTTTTTTTAAAGAAAAGACGCCCTTCGTTGAAAGTAACTTATGAGGCTGAATTAATGATGGAAAAGTTGGCCTGCTTCCCTTTAAAATAAGAAAGGGCAGGGGAAAAGAGTTAAATTTTGATTTCTTGTTTTAGTTAAGCTAGTGGGAAAGAAGGACGGATGAAGCTGCCCTGGACAGGCGTGGAGGGGAGGGGAATTCATTGAGAATAAAAGCCAAGCTTTTTGTAAAGTCTGGGTGCAGAAGCATGGAAATCGAACTGGCTTTGGGCATGGGGAGGGACAGCTTTCCAGTGTCAAAAACCTTTTTTGGAAAATTCAGGCCGTTCGTGATAGAAGTGCGTCTTTCTCTCCCTTGAGCGCTTTCAGCGTCAGGAACAAGATTTTGCTCTTTCTTCTTCTTTTAAAGTTCTCATTTCTTTTTAAAGTTTGCAAAGAAGAGATGGGGTGGGGGCCTTCATGATTTCCTCCCAAACAAACAACTCCCCGCAACCAGATCAGCTTTGCCTCTTCCCTTTTAAAAGGACATCAAGGTCCTTTCAGGGGTGGGCGGGGGTGGTTTTTGCAGCTTAGGGAAGACAAAACTTACCCGGGAAATTAGCAACTTTGCTGATGGATTTGCAAGGAGAAATGCTGAGGTGGGATCCTGGCAGGGCGCCTGGGCTTTCTTGAGGTGGTGGGAATGTTTGGCTGCAAAAAAAAAAAGGATCTCTTTCACAACACGAAGGCGCGATGCAGTTCTATGGGCTGAAATTAACAAGACCGGCTTCGTGAAATTGATCAAGGGCGGCGTGAAATTGACTCAAGTGGCGAAAGGCAGAGAAAAGATGGAAATTCGGGGCCGACGAAGAAGAAGAAGTTTGGGGGTCTAGTGAATGGCGATGAGGAAGAAAGGGCCCGGGCTGTCCTGCAGGGAGATCTATAGGATCCAAACTGGAGGCCGGGGTAGAGGGAAGCTGTTTGAATGGGGATGTGGGAGGGGGGGGAGGCGAGTGGTTGCAAAGGGCTGAAAGTCAACAAAAACATTCACCCCGGTGGAAAATTCAGGAAGGTCCGAACATTAGTGGAAAGAGAGGCGGATCAATAAGGGGATAATAGGAAACAGCTTGGCCATGAATTCTTCTATCCTTGCGCTCCCTCCAAGTTTTTGGGGGAGGGGGGGGAGGGGAGACCCTTTTCCAAATTACTCGGTTTGATTTAAAAGGCATTTCACTGCTTCCAACTCGCAGCAAAATTTACCTTTAGGTATGGCGACAGGAGGATTCCTCACCGCCCCCAAAATCTAGGGATGCCATTAATTAACAGCTTGGCCATGAATTCTTCTATCCTTGCGCTCCCTCCAAGTTTTTGGGGGAGGGGGGGGAGGGGAGACCCTTTTCCAAATTACTCGGTTTGATTTAAAAGGCATTTCACTGCTTCCAACTCGCAGCAAAATTTACCTTTAGGTATGGCGACAGGAGGATTCCTCACCGCCCCCAAAATCTAGGGATGCCATTAATTTACACTTTAGGATGCCGTGCTGAGAAAATTTGGGACAGGCGCCCCGATCGGGTATCTAAACTTTGTTTCTCTTCTCCTCTCCCCCCCCCCCCCTCCCCGGCACCCTTTCGCACCTGGTTCTGCTTCGGCCAGTACGATGAATTGGTACATTACGCCGGAATGGACGGGGTCTCTCTGCCGGCCTTTGGAGATCCGCACACCGGCCGGAGTCTGCAACATCACGCTTTAAACCAGGCGTCCCCTTATGGATCCACAGGGGTCAACCACCGGCCCGGGTTACCCCCGGCTCTGGGCGCCAACGACGCCTTGAAGAGGGAGAAAGACGAGATCTATGGGTAAGCCGTGCGAATGCTCTGACACGCGGAAACGGGGCGGCGGAGGGGGGGGGAGGATGGATCGGGGCCGAAAGTGCGCCCACCGCGCGTGGGAAGCGACCGGGTTTCCAAGGGCCCCCTACCCCGGCTCGCCTCGAAAACCTGTGCGCATAAAAAAAATAATAATATATAAAAAGCTTTTCCTTCTTTGCCCCGACACCTTTCTGACTGGGGAACCGGCTCTCTTCTGCTTCTCCTTCCACCGCCCAGATGTTCCAACCTCTGCTTCCCCCACGAAGCATCTGTCCCCGGGAGAGAGTGTCCCATCGCGCTCCATTGGGGGGGGGAGGCTTTCTTACAAGCCGGTAAACCGGCCCAGGAAAGGTCCCTTAGGCGGCTAGAGAGAGCTGGGGAGACTTTCCTCGGAGCGCATCGGTTCCCTGGGTTTTAAGCGCCGGCTTTCTGGGAAGCCGGCTTCCGAGGAGGCGCACCTAAGGCGGTGCTGCGGAACCGCAATCCCCCCCCCCCGGAGGCTTCCTCGGAAGGAAATCCTTCTGGAAAGATGGGAGACTAAACTTCCCAGTTCCAGCATCCCGCTGCTAATGTTGCCGGGAAATTTCTCCAAACTTTCAATTCTGCCCGCATCTCTCTCTCTCTCTCTCAAAACCCAAGAACCTCAGACAACAACAACAACAACAACAACAACAACAAACCCAGTGGATTAAATCTGATGGCCCAACAACAACAACAACAACAACAAACAACCCAGTGGATTAAATCTGATGGCCCCTCAGGCACCGCTTGAGTATCTATATATATATTTTTTCCTCCTGCTGTTACTGGGTTGATTCAGTACCATTTCCCTGTTCTTTTTGAGCCTGGGGGGGGGGGTCAGTTCAGGCTCTGTGCTTTAGGAGCCTGCTTGAGCACAAATAATTCTCCACACCCACACCCTTCTCTCTTGAACGTGGCTTGCTTTCAGGTAAACCTGTGTAAGGCTGTAATTGGAATTCAAAGCCCTTTCTGGCCCTCTGTACCCCGACTGGTTTGTTTGACCAATTCCTGCCAGCCCGCCAGCCAAATTTCTATTAGCGCTTTTCTCCCTGGGCTTCCATGCCAGCCAAAGAATTTTTGATTTCTGCTCAGACTGCTGCAGGATCACATCCTTCTTTCTTACTCCTGCTTCCCAACCCTGCTCCCAACATCCTGCAAAGAGACTGATTTCCTTCCACTTCCAATCCACGTGTTCATTATTTCTAATCTCGGGGAAATCTTGTTAGGAACAGATCTGTTTCTCTCTTAGCCATGTCTCGGAATTGTTCATCCTGGCTCAGGGTTTTATCAGCATTCCAGGATCTCCTTCTAATTGACAGAAACCGGGTTGCACGCAAGCCTTTTGTAGACTGGAGGTATGAAATTTGGGACGTACTACAGAGATGATGGCCCAAGTAAGAAACAGCTGGCCTTTATGTTAAGATTTCAGAATTTTATTCAGGACCTAGAACAATTACGGGCATCTCTCTTTGTATAATATAATCTGGGGGAAAAAATCTATAGGAAATTTAAAGGAAAATCCTTTGCTGCCAATACATGAAGAAAGAAGATCAGACTCACCAAAAATTAGGGAACAAAAGAGCAAAGGAGAATATAAATAGAAAAGAGAGACGCTTGGTGTTTCTGTGTCAGTCTGTAAAGGCTGAGATGTATCTTTCTCCTTTTTCATTGAGAAGACAGCCTCCAGTGGCAAGTTTGGCCCATCATTAAGGGAAGGAAGAGAAGGCAAGAAACACCCCGCAAAGGAGAATATAAATAGAAAAGAGAGACGCTTGGTGTTTCTGTGTCAGTCTGTAAAGGCTGAGATGTATCTTTCTCCTTTTTCATTGAGAAGACAGCCTCCAGTGGCAAGTTTGGCCCATCATTAAGGGAAGGAAAAGAAGGCAAGAGACACCCCCCTCATCATGGAGCATTTGGTTCCTTTTTGCCTCAGTTTCCCTGTCTGTAAACTGCAGTAAAATCTGCCTTCCAAAAGGAACGAGGTCATAAAGTATTTTTGCACCTGAAATGGGCTTTGTCCAGGATTTGCAATTAAAAAAACAAAAAAGTGAAATGAGAGGTCAGAGTCTTAGGTGTGACAAGTTTTTGGATGAAAAAAATACCGAAATCATCAAAATATTAGAGAGAAAGCAAGATTAGTATCTTCAAGACCAAACGAGTTTTATTTGGTATAGGTTTTAATGAATTTCAGTCCCTTAGTTGCCTCTGATCCAGCATGTGACAATTTAGGAGAATAATGGCCGTAAAAGTTGTTAGTATTTCCGCTGACACAAGAGTCTTTGTCTGCAAAAGACTCACACAGGTATATTTCCAGTGCCCCGAGGAGCATTTTGAAGGGGTGTCGTGACAAGCAGAGTCACCCATCGTGGTGTCAAGGAGATCTCTAAATAGCAAACTAAACATCAAATAGGAGGGTGTTTCTGCTTGAACTCCACCATTGCATGTATGGAGCCGGGTATGGTTAGAAACAGGACGCAAGGTTAGTGAGCCTCTCCAGCTAGCTAGAGTGCTTCTTAGAAATACCGACAGGCTGCACTTCAGGCTTAAGATGGGGAATGCTTTGCAAATGGGCCATATTTCCTCCACCTTCTGCAGCAGATCCGTTCTGCCGCTCAACTGATGTGGGAAAAGGTCGGTCGGTTTCTTTGGGGCTTTTAATCACCGCGGTGAAGGTTGTGTTTGTGTGGCTAGATATGGATGCTCACCTTTACGAGCGCAGGTTGCATGCGGTGCTTCCCGGTCACAACTACAGAGATGACGGTTGTTTTCAGGAAAGCGTTAATATCATCCAACCATCCCGGGTTTACTGCTCTGAGTTAGTCATCTGAGCTGGTTTGCCAAGTGGGGCTGCTTGGATTGCTGTGCCTTTGGCGGCAGGATTGGTCCCAAGCGAGAACATTTGTTCTGACTCAACCCACCTCTCTTGTTCTAAGTCCCCAGCATTCAGGGGTAGACTGCTGTTGAAGCTGGAGGTTCCATTTTGTCACTGCAGTGAACAGGCACCGATGGGCCTTCAGTATGTATGTTTTTGAGTCACAGTTGGTGGAATCCCACAGCTAGCATGTGTAAGGTAGCAGGTAGCTATTTTAAAAATCAATCATTCAACCAAAGCGGGTGTGTGTGTGGGGGGGAAAGGTTCATCTCTGGCCTTTGGAAGCCATTTATACAAGTGTCTCTAATTTCTGGCTCAATTCCACACCTTGTACAGGTTGACTCTTGGGTTAGCACGATGTGGAGCGACTAGAGAAACCTCAGGTGGCAATCCAAGTTGGTGCATGACACCCAGGCCACGGAGTCTGGTTTAAAACTGAGCCATGTGGCCGATGTGTTTCGGTGTGGTTAGCCTTTTGTCTGCAATGGTTTACAGATGCACAAGGTTTGGTGGTTTTTCTCCCTCCTTCCACACATGCTTTAATTCACGTTCCTACCAAAGAAAAATGCCTCAATGTGGCCAAAACCTTTCATGGCCTCAAAGCGCTGTGGTGAATGGTTTTCTCCGGTTTTATTTATAGAGACAGCGGCCCGAAACAGTGAAAGCAGACGATAACAGGCCAAAAAAACCATTTAGACAAAATATCTGTATCAGAAAAGCAGAATGGACCACTGGGGAAGGTAGAGTGACTCCTGGTAGGGAACTAGATAGGAAAAAAAGCGTTTCAGAAATCTTTGAGTTTGTTAAAAGTGGGTTCTGGGACCACTCCTTCAGGTTGTTCAAAAGCAATAAAAAATAAAAAATGAAATAAAAAAATTTATAAAAAATTTTATGGGTTGTGGTTAGTTGTCCGGGAGCTTTGGGTTAAGGAGAAGGGTAGTCTAAAAAAAGAGTAAGCCAAGAAAGAATGAAAGAAGCTGTTGGTGGCGGGAGGCTGTCTCTTCTTGGTCAGGAATCTGGGATAAGATAGAACTGAAAAGTGGCAACTCCTGAACTCAGTGCCCTCAGAGACAACATGCTGACAAAGCAGGGGGAGATGTTACAAAATCATAGAATCATAGGATAATTGAGTTGGAAAGGGCCTATTAAGGCCATGAAGTCCAATCCCCTGCTCAAGGCAGGAATCACCTTGACATTTTGCTCTGACCTCAAGTCACATCCTTGAAGTATTCTTATTAAATTTTCATCCCACTTACCTTCTCTGATTGCTGGCTTCTGAGCACTGGTCATGTCTGGGACCCCTCCGCTTGGCCCTCCTGAGATCTCCGAAAGTGCATGCTCTGGGACTGAAAACCTTAATTAGAGGCAAGTGCCATTGTTTCGAGATAATTAACTTTCATTGCGATCAACCAGCTCCCTCAAAATATCAAACAGAGACCTGTATCTGTGATCACTTCGAGAGGCAAGGCAGATCTTTTTGAAAGGCACTCATCTTGTGGCTAGCAAGCAGAGAGCTGAGTCAGTGTGGCATGTCAGATAAGGATTTTTGGACTAGGGCCTGGGTTCAAATCTCCACTTGGCCATGGAAACTCATTGGGCGAAGAGCAATGGAAAGCCACTTCTTGAGCATCTCACATACATCAAAAACCCATATGTCAGGAGTGATTTGATGGCATGTAACAACAAGCAGGATGCTGAAGCCTGAGTTATGACCTATGTCATCTCCCTAAGCAGGTTTACATGCACATAGGACTAGTATAGCTCAGTGTTTCAAGTTTCTGAAGAAATAGGGTTAGGGCTGGGACATGGGTTTCTTTAAAGTAACACAAGTAGACGTAAATGGAACTCTGCCCATTCATGGATCACACAGAAGCACGTGTCTCTTTTACCACTGCATGTCTTCTCAGCTGAGATCTGCTATGCATCCTAGCAACATAACCATACATATAATTGTGGTCCATACAGGTTTGTGCTATTTTTCCTACTTAGATATACATGTGCAGATTATCACTATGCAACATGATTCTTGAGGCTTACACCTTGATCTTGCATGCTTGCATGAAAGGCGATCCCACGGATTTCAGTGGGACCAAGTCTACCTTTTGCTGGATGGTGCCCCACAGAGTTCAGAGGTGCTAGAAAATTTCTGCACATTGACCAGATTTTTCACAGCTCACATCTTTGATCCAGTGGAAAGATTTACGGGCTCCTCCAATGGAGCTGTGCCGTCTCTGTCCTGCACCCTCTTCCGTTGACAGCTCTGTCATTAAGGTAGTGGTGAGAAAAATGGAATATCCCACTTTATAAATCCCCTTTCCGTTTGCTCGCTGAAAAGAACACACTCCAGATTGTCCTCCTTTGCTTCCTCCTCCTACTTCCCAACTTTTGAGGACTCCTTGGCAGGACTGGAAATGTTACACTTCCCTGCATGGTGAAGCTTTTAAACCAACGGTTAAATATTTGCTGTGTTTGAATAATTATATAAATGCCACTTTTCAACGGTAAGGAAAACACTTCAAAAAAAAATGTAAAAAGTAGGGTGCTGAGAACTAAAAATATAAAGGCTGCTGTCCCCAAACTCCCATCCGTGGTGCACCCCAATTTTGTCAGCCAGAAAGTTTGGGTAGCACAACCCTGAAGCCATTTTAATGGAGGAGACAAAGAATGTCTTTTTGGCATGATGGATGCTATCCATGGATTTCGACACAGGACAGAATTCAGCAGAAACACGAGTTAGCAAACAAAAAGTGGTGTGTTCCCCCCCTTTAGCCAACTTCTGCTGTAGTTTGGGAACTGTGGAAACTGGCTTTAAAAGCTTCAGGGGAGGAAAAAACGGCGCAAGAGAAACATGATGGATCTTCGCTGCCTTCGTCTTTGACTTGCATCTTACAGTTTGAAGCTTTCCAGCCGTCTTAGAATGGAGTATTTTTTTTCCACCCAATGAGACATTAAAGTACTCTGCCTGTATCTCTGCTCCAATGCCCCCTCCCTCCTCAAATCCCTGGTTACAGCTAGCGATGGTTTTAATTTTAATTTTTTTTTTCCGTTTGCAATTCGGGGTGGCGGCGGGCTGAGTTAAGCAGGCAACGTTGGAATGTTTCGGGATCCCGCCTTCCTTTTCTTAAAAAGTTGAGTTTTGTTTCACGTAGTAAGAGATGTGAACGTTCTGGGGAAACGCTCACTTAACGGTGACACCGTCCGGGGCCTCTGCTGCAAATATTTGCGTAACATATGGTGCGTGAACTTGTATAATCTACAGTTGGGAACACTTTGTCTTACTTGCTACCCATCCAAATCTTAGGAGGAAAGGGGGAGCCGGGAGGATCGAGAGATGCATTTTACTGGTTGGACTTCGGAGCCACTAAGACATAAATCATGGAGCAGGCTGGAGGTGGGCTTCCCCCCCTGCTATGGAATGAGATCTTTGAAATAACGCTGACCCCGGGAGGAATACAGTTGTGCAGTGCATATATGGACATTTTGCAAAGGAACTTTTCTCCTTCTTGATTTGCTCTTTTTTTTTTAAAAAAAAAAATCATTTTTATCCTTAAAAACTTAAATTCCAAACTTTGTGCAGATTTTAACAGTTGTGAATTTCTTTTTCCCCTCAAGTCTTTTTTTAAATACATATTTTGGAGGAGCTCGGAGGAATTTCCACGACCCATGCATGTTTGTGAATGCGCAGAATCACATCACACCCAATGGCAACATGGCACTTCCGCATCCTTTGGCATCAGCTGGGTTGATGCTTCCTGGTCTCACCTTCAGAGTCCTCAGGTGGGAAGCTGGTGATGGTAGCAAAAGGTGCAGAGATGTAAGGAGGGGCATCTTTTGTTCCTGGGGAATTGACATCTCCAAGTCCCTATTTTATTCCTTCCAGAAGGCAGAGTGAGCCCAGTGTTCTAGTGGATAGAGGGATGGACTAGGATTCTGGAGACCAGGGTTCGAATCTCCACTCAGCCATGGAAACACACCGGGGAAGTGGAACTGTAAAAACACACCTTAAATATCTCACTGAAAGTCCTATTGGGGTTGCGACAAGTCAGTTCCGACTTGATGGCACATAAGACATATACAGAAGGTAAACGCTTAGAAAGGAGGCACTTTTGCCCAGTGAATTTTACACGTACGGTAATTTTCCCTTCACCTTGAATTGTTCTTAAACACCAGTGACTGGAGGTCCTTTGGCTTTGTGTTATGCTGATGGAGGGGCCGTTCAGGAGATGTGAGAAGCCCCGCACCTGGGGCTTACACTTTGCTTTGGGCCCTTTCTTCTCGTACCCAGATTCCCTGGTTCCTCTGCTAAGCTGAGACACAAACAGGCGTACCTTTCCTTCTGTGCTAAACCCTAAGCATCTTCTCTTCTGTGGCAGGCACCCCCTGTTCCCACTGCTGGCCCTGGTCTTTGAGAAATGTGAACTGGCAACCTGCTCTCCAAGGGATACGTCTGGCTCTTACCCGGGAGGAGACGTCTGCTCGTCGGATTCGTTCAACGAGGACATTGCCGTCTTTGCCAAACAGGTTGGTGTCGGCCGAATGCAAGGCACAGAGGGGAGAAGAAAGCTCTAAACCCAAGCAGAAGAGGAAGCACGATCATGAGGTCATGCTAGCTTACAAACAAAGCTTCTAAGTTCCTAGTCCATCAGAATGCATCCTAATGCCCATGACCACTCATAGCAGTTTCTGGCCATTGACCCCCTCCATGAAGGGTCTATTTATGGACTAGTTACCTGGAGGCAATTCTTTACTCACCGTAGGTGACCAGACAACTCCTTGTTCCCAGTTCTGCATAAGGGCTAAAATCAGGACAGGTTCCTTTAAACAGCTTGGTTTTCCAGCATGCTTTTTGGATGGGGAAAGGAATATATTCTAGAGATACCTAGAGACAGCCCCTTTCCTTTGCAGTCTCTGTGGATATATCAGACAGGATGCAAGGTAATGCGTTTCTATGTGTGTGTGTTTATTATCACTATTTCTTCCCCCAAATGGAGCTTACAATGGGACATTTGAGTTGTAAATGCAATTAAAAACCAAACAGGTTTGAACAGTAAAGAAAGATTAAATTAAAAAAAACATAGTTCAAACCACACCAATAAAAATAAAGGCAACGGATCCCTAAGGAGTTGCACCACAGACCAGATGATTTGAAGAGTTGGGCTTTGAGCGTTAAGTCCCTCCATATCATCTGGTCTTTTGAGTAGAGGGGATCCCTGACATCATCCCGTCATCTGGATTGTTTATTTATTTAACTTTTGTATGTTACATTTACAACCAAGAGGATAGAAGGATGTCCTCTTTTCCATTTTTCCTTGGGGGGGTGGGGGGGGGGGGGGGGGGGGGGGTCGGGGAGAGAGAGAGAGAGAATGGTCCGAAGTCAGCTTGTGAGTTTCATGGCTCAGTAGTGAAAAGAACACAGCTCTCTTGAATCCTAGTCCAGGACTCTACCTGCTATAACAAACTGCCACACAAGGGGGCAGTCTAAGCCCCATGACAGACCATCATCCATACAGCAATAAAATAGCCCTCTATAACCAGAATGGATAAGTCTGGTGCTTTCCCATCAGCCTCCGCTTGAAGTTTTTTTTTGGCCTCACCTGAAGACTGTATTTCCCAACGCCCTCAGGACTGGAGGAAAACTATGAGTCAACTTGGTTTCAAGCCAGGTGTTATTTATTTATTGATTTGATTTGATTTTGATTGATTTGATTTATATCCCGCCCATCTGGTCTGGTCGACCACTCTGGACGGCTTCCAATATGGTGTATACGATAAAACACAAGAATTTTACAAACAGTTCATAACACATACAATAATAAAACAAATAATAAATGAAAGAAAAAATAGAGAAAGAATTAAATATTGACAGGAGGGAAGGCCTGAACATACAACCATGTTTTTAGTTGACTCTTAAAAGTGCCCAGTGTAGGGGCCGCATGAATAACTGGAGGAAGGTTATTCCAGAGGCGAGGAGCCACCGCTGAGAAGGCCCAGTTTCGTGTCCTTTCCTTCTGTGCCTCCCTCGGCGTTAGGCTCCTCAGCCTCACCTCCTGGCTTGTGCGGGTGATCTGAGTAGATCTAGGTGGGAGCAGGCGTTCCGCCAAGTATCGGGGTCCTAAACCGTTTAGGGCCTTATATGTAAGCATTAACACTTTGAAGTCAATGCGGAAACGGATGGGCAGCCAGTGCAGCATGGCCAGAGTAGGAGAGAGATGTTGGTATTTTCTCACTCCATTAAGGAGTCTGGCCGCCGCATTCTGCACCACCTGAAGTTTCCGCATCAGCTTCAAAGGGAGCCCCATGTAGAGCATGTTACAGTAGTCTTAATCTAGAGATTACAAGTGCATGCACTAAGGTAGTGAGCGCCCCCGTGTCTAGGTAAGGTTGCAGCCGGGCAATCTGCCAAAGGTGGAAAAAGGCGGTGCAGACTACCGATGCCACCTGCGTTTCCATGGTGAGCGTTGGGTCCAGGTGTACCCCTAGGCTGCTTTTTAATTGTAAAAGGTTCGGGTTGCCAAGTCGGCGGCTGCTCTAGGGGAGCCTTTTTAGAGAAAGTGATAAGCAGGTACGTCTGGGCAAGAGATGAACACAAGCTGCCGAACCGAATTGGTGGCTCGTTCCAGTTTGTTTTTTGAGCAAGCGGGTGTTTCGCAATTCCCAGCCTCGCCTCCTTTGGTGGGCACCCACTCATTGGAAGCGCCTGGAGGAGGCAGGGCTAAGGAAGCTGGGCTCTGCCTCTGAGGGGGTGGGTGCTAGGAAGTGCCAAACACCTTTTTGGCAAAAAAACAAACCAGCACAAAGCATTGGTTCGGCAGTTCGTGTCCCTCTCGAATCTGGACCAAAATATTTCTGTCGTGTGAAGCCACAAACCACCTAATACTGCTGAACAAATCGCTTCCAAAACCAAGCTGGGCGTGTTAATTGCCCATGAATGGAAAATCCCACAGACGCTCCTTGCTTATGGCAAATTTGTGAGGGCCATCAATTAAGAAACGAACAGTTTGCTGCACTTTCGTGGGAGCCCACATCTGCTGCCAGAGACATTCTACTTGACAATGGGGCCGGCACTCTATGCAGACATTAGAATGCAACGTGAGCATCAGATGTGCAAGTTGATCCATCTGGCCCAGGACCGCTCTCGATTTCTTCCTTTGTTTCTCTGAAGGAATGCCTGGGCCTGTGATGCCATTAAGGCTGCACCATCTAATGTCTGTAAGTATGAGGGAGAAGTCAGTGACAGTAAGATCTACACAGACATTAGACTGTGTAGACTTATCGGCATTACTGGCCCCTGTGTGTGCCCATAGGTGTTACTACGAACATTCACATATCTTCCGTCGGTCTGTCCTGCACCTTGGTATCCTTACGGTAAACATAGCTGAGGGTCTTGGAAGTTCAACTTAGAGGATCGCCCTCTGTGGAGAGTATTTACACCTAGATCCGTGGAGGATATGTTTCCAGAGGAGTCTACATGAATAAGCCTGTTGTGG